CTTCTCCACAGCGCCAAGCACGAGCGCCGCAGCACCCGTAAGGACGACCCCTGCCGGTCCCCTGAGCGTGGCTGCGGCGGCGTCCCCGAACCGCCCTTACCTACCTTGAGCCCGCGCCTCGGCGGCCCCCGCTTCTGTCCTGTCTCGCAGGCATCGCCCTGGGCAATTACATGAAGCATTGCCCGGCGAACTGGGGCTGCCTGCCCAGCACCAAGCTGAAGCCGCTGCTTCAGCAAGACCCGCGGTTCTCATTCACGGCCGACCCAGCAGATCCTTTCATGTTCAGGTGCGGCTGAGGCCGTCAAGCGGCGCCCGCCGGCCGGCGCGCCCGCAAGGCCCGCACCACAGGGCTCGTGTTGTGAGCGCGCGCGCCGCCGCCGCTGCCGCCGCCGCCGCCCTGCTGCACATGCTTCGTCGCCGCCGTGTGGCGCGCGCGCGTTTCGGCCGCTTTCCGCGGTGATCCGTCATGCGTCAATCGGCCCCCCGTTTCCTATTGTTGTTTTGCTTTCGTCATTCACATCTGCCACCAGGTGCACACTGGACTTGGACGCCCTTCGCGCCGCCGCCGCTGTAGCCGCCAGCGCCCCCGCCGTCCCGGCGCGGGCCCAGCCGGCAGCCCCGGCGCTGGCGCCCGCGCCGCGAGCGCCCGAGCGGGGCGCGGCGCCCGACCCAGAATGGCCGCACGCGAACAATGTGTTGGTCAACCCTTTCGGCGCCTGCCGCCCGGGCAAGTGGCGCGAGGCACTGCGCGCGGGGCAGGTTCACCACAGCTTCATCCTTGCTGCCTGCCGCCTCTGCGGCTTCCGCGGCCACACAGATGCGCAGTGCAAGGTGCCGCGCTGCGGGCGCTGCTCGCGGCACGGCCACACGCCGACAGAGTGCGGCGAGGAGTGCTCCAAATGTGGCCTCGCCGGCGGCGCGGCAGGCGGCGGCGCCGAGCAGAGGGAGAGGCGGGAGCGCAACCCGCACGCCGCGCGGGAGTGCCCGTTCAACCGGTGCCGCGGGTGCGGCCGCGTCGGGCACTACACAGCAGAGTGCCCCGGCGGCGGCGGCGGCGGCGGCCCAATCGCAGCGCGTGCCGCCGCGGCGCCCTCTTGCCAAACGCCGTCGCCAACGGCAAACGCGCAGCTCGATGCATGGCCCCAGATCGGCAGGCCCGCGGGCGACACCCAGATCACCCAGATCACCCAGGTCCAGATCGAAGCCCAGATCGAAGCGTTGATGGACAGGCTGTTTGAGAAAGCGCCCGAGATCGCGATCGAGCTCCTGGGATCAGAGGGCGTAGCCAGGCTGACAGAGGCGCTGGCTTGCGGCGGCCCCCGGGCCTTCAACGAGATCGCCGCCGCTGCAGACGTGGATGCGGGCGGCGGCGGAAGCGACGCCGTCATCACAACCATCGAGCGCCTGCGCCGCGGCGCGGCCGCCGGCGCGCCGGTGTCGGTCGCGGCGCCGCCGGCGCAGCAGTGGGGCGCCGCCGCGCCTCACGTTGCTTCGAGCGCAGGCAGCGGCAGCGCCGGACGGTCGAGCGGGCTCCAAGCGCAACAGGCGCTTGAAACCACTGTCCCACCAAGCGGCAATGGCAGCGGCGGCTCGATTACTGCAGGCCCGCCGCCGCCGCCCCCGGGCCCCCACCTGGTGTCCCTGTGTGACGCGGTGTGGCCCCCCTCCAGCGGCCCCCACGGTCTGCTGAAAGGCGCCCTGGCCAAGATGCTGCTCGCACAGGCCTGTGGCGGCGGCGGCGGCTGCGGGTGGGACGGCAGGGTATGCTGGATGCCGCTCGCGCTAGCTGGTGGGTGGGCGTGCATCGCCGTGAGGGTGTCATAGTGGGCGTTTGGGGGTCAGGGCCAACAGGGCACCCTGATCGGGCAGCCAACCGCTGAGCCGGGTCGTGCCGCGGCCGTCAAGTTCATCAGTCCGTCACTGCTGCTGGTCCAAGCAGCCGCCCCTGGAGTGCCTGCCTCACACCTCCACAACCCCCACGCCATCTCCCCGCCCCCTTGACTTTCGCCCCAAGGCCCCCGCCTGCTGGCGTTCTGGCGCGGGGAGCAGCGCCTGTTTGCGGCGTCCCCCGACGGCGCCCCGCCTTTCAGCAGCCTGGCGGTCATGATCACGGGGGACCCCTACCTCAGCTGCAGGGCGCGCACAGCCGCGGCCGGCGGCGGTGGCGGCGGGGGCGGCGGCGGCGCTGCGGGGTCTAAGGGGGGCGAGCTCTGCGTCGTCCTCGACTCAGCCAGGCTGGCGCAGTGGGGTGGGTGGCTCACATGTGGCCTCGAAGCGGCGCCGGGTGCGAGAGCTGCAGAGACGTGTGCCGTGTCTTTGATCGGCATGCAAGGCAGCTCGTGCTTCTGTCATCTCATTTTGAACCCTGGTTTGCACCCTCATCCCCCATGACAACCAGGCTCGGCGGCGCCGCTGCCGTCGTTTGCGGGCCTGATGCTACTGATTGACGAGGCCTGGGACATTGGGGGCGGCAATGACATGCCCCCGAATCAGGGCGGCAGCGACGTCGGCGGCGGCGACGCGGCCCAGCTGGCCCCCATACTGCTCAACTGGGCGGCCAAGATGATGGCGGCGGAGGGCAACCCAGGGGCGTCCACCTGGCAGCCCAGCGCAGCGCTGAGGGTCAGCCCCAACGACGCGGCGTACTCGCTGCTCGGCTCGCGCTGTGGTGAGGGGGGGGAGCGAGGGGCGGTGCGGCTTCGCGTGCGTTTGGTGGGGCCATGCGAGCTCGAGGTTTCATGTTTTTCGCTTTCATGTTGCTGCTGCGGTGCGTCCTGCAAGCCGCGCATCTACCTTGGCTGTGTGTCTGATGGAAGGGCAAGCCTCGATGCAACCACCCACTTTGCAGTTGTTCATCCAGTTTCTCACCCATCCACCCCGCCGCTCGTCACCGGCGGTCACCACGTGTCATTGCTCATCACCGCGCGCCACCGCAGGCATTCTTCTGCGCGAGCTGTGGGCGGCCTGCCCCGCCACTGCGGGTGTGCAATTCCCAGCCTTGAAAATGTCAACCCTCGTGCAGGGGCAGCAGTACTTCACGGTGTGCGTGGACCCCATCACTGGGGCCCGGCGGTACGGGCTGGACCTGTACCGCCTTGTCGGGTGCCAGCGGCCGGCGCCGGGTGACGACGGGCGATGAGTGTGAAAACGGGTGACGTTCCTTGGATGCGTCGCGCATGGGGCTGTGCGTGCCAGGAAGCAAATCAGTGGCTTTGCCAGAGGCATTTTGCGCGGCACATGGTTTGTATGTGTTTAACGTGGTCGTGTAATGTATATGAGTGTGGCAGCTGTTGAAGCTTCAACTCCACGCGTGCTTTCTTGTAAGAAACTGGAACAAGCGGTCTCGTCATTGCATTATAGGGGCAGTAAGGCTTACCAGCCGACCTGGGCCCCGCCTGAATACCTGTTGATACCTGCAGCAAGGCAGAACGTTGTCTTGGGGGTTGTGGCGGCACAAAGCTGGGCAGCGGCATTCGGCATGCGGTTGCGCTGCCTGATGGTGTGATATCGCGCAACCTGAGTTCACTAATTCGACAATGCCATCGGTGCTTTGTTCGTTGGCATGCTGGCGCACGTGCTTCCTATTGCACAGGTTGATTATTGCACATACACGCTTGAATTCATGCTACATATGCGCTGGCTTGAGCGCTTGCAAGCACGCACGCACACCGGCATCTGCAAGCACAGGCATGCCTGCACACCAGCACAACGGCACTGCGCATGCAGTGGGCGAGCGGCTCAGCAGCAGGTGCCATCACCATTGCAGTATTCGGGTGCTTCGAGCGCCGACTGCGTTGCGTGTTTGGTTAATCAAATTTTGCCCATCACCTTTTACGACACCGTGCACCCGCGCGTCTGCAAGGCGACACCTCGTTCGCAGCACAGTAGAGCACGGAGCAACAGCATGCGGAGAGGCCTCTACGGACTCTGTCTAGTTCTCTTATGCTTAAATGTCCGCGCGGATAAGGTGGAGAAAGGAGCGGTGCGCAACGGCGGCGTCTCGAGTTCCCCCGCTCGTTCCGCCTGACGGTGCTGCTGCTTTCTGCTTGCTGCATCAGCACGCCGCCGAGCACAGCCAGACCCGAAGACACACGCCGGGCAGCAGTGTGCAGCCGTCACACCCACACCCCTTCAGATGCAGCCGCGGGAGCGGGGGCCATGCGCCTTGCTTGTTGGGAGCAGTGAGCAGAGAAGTGGAGAACTTGCGCACCCACCCCCGACCCCCACAACGAAATTTGCACACGGGCCGGCTGCTCGATTGAACAAGCAGGAGGACGTCGGCCCCAAGAAGAACGGCGCCGGCCTCTTCTTTATCTCGTGAGCCGCCGCCGCGCCTGACCGCAGCCGCACGCGTGGCCGCCCCCGGCCCCAGCTCAGAGCTCTCCGCATGCCCCGCGCGCTCACCGGGCGGCATCTGTCGCCCCGGCACGACGGCCTCGCGCACACCGCGAACACGCGTCCACACCCTATGCAGGCCGTCCGGCCACGTGCTGCTGCTGCTGCGCGCCGGCCGCCACAACACCGGAAAATGGGGCCTGCCCGGCGGCAACGTGGAGCCCGGGGAAGCTGACCTCCTGGCAACTGCCAAGCGGGAAGCTGCCGAGGAGCTGGGGGGCGTCGCGTCGCTGCCGTCTTATCAGCTTGCTGGGCAGCCGATTCTGATCAAGTGAGCCGGCGGGCTGGGGGGGGTGGGGGCTCCTCGGGCGTTCGCACATGCACACGTGCACAAAATGGGCATGTCAGCTGTCGGCGCAGAGGTCTCTGGTGGGTTGAACGGTGTGGAGCTGGAGTGCGTCCGCAGCTAGTTTCGGCCACAGCGAAAGGTTTCAGAGCTGCGCGGCCCGAGGACGGCGATTGCATGTATTGCAGCTGCAGGGGGCGGTCGCATCGGGCTGAGATGCTGCCCGTCTCCCCATCCTCCCCATCCTCCCCCCCCCCATAACGTCTGCAGGCGCGGCCACAAGGGGAAGAAACACTTCACGGTGAGAGGTATAGTTGGGTGCCAGCTGTACACGTCGTCCTGCTGACAGCCGTCGTGTCTGCCGGGCACCGGCAGCCGTCCTGTCCGACCGCCTCCCCCCCCTGCGGGCGCTTTTGGGCCGCTGCGTGCCAGGCGAGGGCGTCTGGTCCACCCCCGCTGCTCACTGAGCAGTGCCTGTCCTGCATGCGCTCGTGCGCGCTCGAAAAAGCAATCGTATGGCATTTGGTGCCGTCAAGCCCGCTTCGCCTGCCAATTAGTTGCGCAGGTGTATGTTGCCAAGGTGTCCGAGGCGACGAAATCGACCTATGCGGCCCCCAATCTGAATGCCAAGGAGCACAGCGACTACCGGTGGTTCAGCCTGGACGACCTCGTGCGCCTGGCAGCTGAGGGGAAGCTGCACCCCGTGGTAAAGAAGCTGCTCAGCCACCACAAGGACGAGATCTTGAAGGTCTCCGGCGCCAAGCCGCAAGCCGCCAAGACTATCGGCGCCGTCAAGGCGCCGTGACCCCCTGCGCCGCCGCGAGGCCCGAAAAGTCCGCCTCTAAAAAAAGGGAGCCTTGAGGCCGCTGCCTCTGGCACGCATGGGGCGGTCCTGTTGTGTTTTGTCGTGTCTTGTTTTTATTGCTGCGATCACCCCCATCACGACGACGACATTTCACCTGTTGGGCGGCAAGCCGGCTCCTTGCTGCCTGCGATGTGCTGCAGCTCACGCACCGTGTTGGCCAGTGCCGGCTCATGCTGGCGCACCATCAGATATTGTTGACCAGGCGATGCTGTGCTCTGTGCTTTGCCTGTGACCCGCACACAAGTTATTTGCTCTCTGTGTTGGCAGTTGCTCGGGCCCCAAAAACGTCAACCACAGCAATGCAGTTATTGCCTCCGGCTTGTATTGTTACTACGGTTTTGTATGCTCTGTTACGTATCAAGTCCCCCCAGGGTGCAATGCAGATGCCGCTTTCCAGTCAACAGGTTCCCAGCCCGGCCCTTGCCAATGCTTTGGAAAACGTGCCATGCGGCAGTCCGACAGCGCTGTCGGTGGCAGTAATCATAGCGCAATCAGCAAGCCATTGGGATTGACGACCTGCATCTAGAGGTCACAACGCCCTCGCTTTGGGTGAGGGCGACGGCGTTTGGTCCTTCGGGCGGCTCTGAGAGGGAAAGGTGACCTGGCTGCACACGGACAGGCAAGGCTGCCTGAAGGGGAGCATTGCAGCATTCAAGGGGCTGGACTTACAAACCAAGTTTACGTTGCAAAATCATAATATGTGTCAAGTGGTGCGCTTGGGCATCTTCACAAATTCGCTGTGCCGCTCAGACTGTTCGGTGTGACTGGGCATCCAATTCTAAAGCCGCGTCACGGACGCTTGTGACTATTCACAGCTCAAATTGCTACACAGGCTCTATACATCCCATTTGAGACGCATATCTTTGCACACCACCTCAGCTGACACCTCAGCCTCCCCGCGCATCCCCTAAGGTCGTACTAGCCCATATCGAAGCAGAAAGGCACCATGCAGCCCAACGAGCTCCTTATGATTGCCAGGGTACGCTCGCAGTGGCCGCACCGAGACAGCTGCCGCCCTTGCCGCTGCCTCAAATGAACAGGCCTGCCAACCGGCCCCGCCTTGCGCCCGCACCCCTTGCCCCCCGCAGTATTTCGGGCAGAGCGGCGCACCACAAATGGCACTGAAGGCGGTCTCGTGCGCACTCCCCAAGGTCGCGAGCGCAGGTGCGCCTCAAATTACGCAGCCCAGTCCGCGCACGTGTGTCCACCACCACAGCCGCATGTGCGCCCGGCCCCAGCACACGGGCAGCCCCCAGGCAGCTGCAGAACGCTCTGTTGGGAGGCCGCACCGCGATGTATTTACAGAACATGCCCGCCGCGGCGGCAGGGCGCAGCTGGGGCGTGCGTTTGACCGGGCCAGGCGGGCGCTGACCGTGCGCTGACCCCACCCGCC